AGAAGAGAGAGATTATTATTTATTTTTTAAAAACATAAATTATAAAATTGTTACAAAAAATATTAAAACAAAATAAAATATTTTTGAAAAAATTAAACAAAGGAGCGCGATGAAAATGCAAAAAATTTAATATCTTTTTGTTGTTAAAGTAACAAATTTTGGAAAAAATTTTTTATATTACAGTAAATAAAATTAAAAATTTTTGGTTTAACTAAAGAACATTTAATAATTTTTAAGTAACGAAAATTTTGATTTTTAAAGTAAAGAAAAAAATTTTTTTTGTAAGTAAAGAAAACTTAAACATTTTTTTGTGCATCATTGTAGCGTTTGAAGATTTTATTTTAAAATATATATGTACATGTGTATGTATTTTTCTTTTTAAACAAATGTTTGCAAACAATAAATTTGAGAATCAAAATTTAAATGCCGTAAATTTAACACAATAAAAATTAACTGGAAAGCAAAAATTGCAGAAATTAAGTAGCAAAAATAAATATAAAAACAGTAGATAAGCACAAATATAACGGTAGACAAAATATAAACAAACGGACTCAAAACATATTTTACAAACAAAACGCATCATCATAACGAACACAAGTGTTTGACACCCGCAAGTCTAAAAGTTTGTGCAAATCCTAAATTATAGAATATATAATCGATTTTGTAGCTAATTTCAAATGCTGAGTTTTCCATACATTTTTATTTAATTTACTTTAAGCTTGTCAAGCAACACAATATTATAGCTTAAGCTCAACAAAACATGAAATTTTTTATAATATATTGATATTATACAAGTAAATATAAATAATATAACGTAAGTTAAAGAAATACATACAGACAATACATTTGTATGCATTAAACCGGTGTTCATATGTATATAAGTATGTATTATAATATATAAGTTTTCATATAGCAGTTATATATGTTTTATGTAATATTAAGGATATTATAATCACTCAGCACCAAAATGTTTTGGCGTCTCAAGTGCTAAATATCAAATATTTCCACACTTTTGCGCTATATAAACATATAATAATAAAGTCCACATACATACATATAATATATCATAGATATATTATTTATATGAATTAATGAATTTAAATATATTAAAGATATTTAGGTTGGTTAGTCGTTGAATACTTACTTTGATTTGTTTACACTTTTGTTTATGGAAATGAAATTTCACAAACATATAATTTATTGTACATTATTAATTTATGTTATGTATGTACGTCGTTTCAAGCAAAGCAACGCCAAAAAATTACTTAGATTAATTTACTTAATTATGATTATGAATATAGATATATATTTCCAGCACGTGCAATCATCATTAATTAGTTATGATTATATCATATGTTATTAATATTATTTTGTAAATATGTTTATGCATAAATGATAAATTAACGTTCTAACATAATTCTTAACATATTGTCAAAACATTAACATATTGTAACACATACACATGTACACGCACACACTTACAATAATTGATACAAAAACATCAACATTATTAATGTGCGCTATGAAACAAAATAGAAAAGAAAATTCACAATATTTTGTGTTGTTATTATATTTATTAGGTATTATAGGTGTTTTACATTTCATAATCATTTTTATAATATTTTTTGATTGATACATGATAATTAGATGATATTTTTATAATTTCTTTCATATTTTTAAAGAAAAATTTGTATGTATATTAATTTTTTAAATTTGTATAATTTAATTTTAAACTTTTTACATGCTAAATTTTTGTTTAATTATTTTATGAATTATTTTCTTATAAGATATATTTTTAATACTTTTTAACTTTTTTTTAATATTTGCGTTAGTTTGTAATTTTTTATATTTGTTATATTATTATTTATAATTAAAAATTTTTAATTTAAAAATTTATTAATTTTCTCATAATTAAAGGTAATATAATTAATTATTCTATAAATTTTTTGATATTTATTTCTTAAAACAAATAAATTTTTTGTATCTAAAAATTTTTGTATAAATTTTTCTTTTAATTATTGATTTTTCATGTTTTTAATTTTAAAATGTTTTTTTTAATATTTAAATGTTTTTTTTTAATTTTAAAATGTTTGTATATTATTTTATATTATTAATTTTTTATAATTTAAAACTAAATTAATTTAAAAAAAACTAATTATAAAAAAAATATAATAAATTTTTTATAAATTTATTTTTATAAATTTATTTTAATTATTGATTTTTCATAAATATATATAAATTTTTTTGTTAACACTTTTTTTTATAAAATTTTTTAATATTTGTTTTTATTGTAGTATTTAAAATTTTTTATATTTCATTTTATGTTATTAAATTTTTTATAGTTAAAAAAAATATTTCATTAACTTTTTTATATATAATAAAAAAATTTATAAATTTTGAAAATTTTTTCTTATAGAAGTTTTTTTATAAACAAAATTTTTTTACAAATATATTTTTAAATTTTAATTTTTTTATTATTGATTTTTTATAATTTTTTTAATTTAGTACGTTTTCTGTAATTTTGTCACATTTTTTAATTTGTTTTTTAAGATTTCTTACGTGGGTTTTATAAATTTATATTTTAATTAGAAACTTATTTATTTTTGTTAATGCTAGAAATAAAATTTTTTTTTATAAATTTATTTTTTTAATTATTGATTTTTTATAAAATTATATAAATTTTTTTAACAAATTTTTTAATATATCTTTTTAATGTTTAAAATTTTTTTATAATAAATTTTTTCAAAAATATTTAATCAATTTTTAATATTTTTTTTATAGATTTTAAAAAAATGTATAAATTTTGAAAATTTTTTCTTTTAGAAGTTTTTTTTTAGAAAATTAAAAGTTTTTACATATAAAATTTAGAAATTTTTTTTAAAGATTTTTATAATTTTTTTATTGAGTTACATATTTCTAATTTTAATTTTTTTTTTAATTCAATTTGGATGTTTTTTTATTTTTCTAGATTTTTTTTTTTTATTTAATTTTTTTTTTTTTTTAATTTTCGTTGTTTTTTTATATATGTACTTTTTTTTTTTTAATTAGTTAATACGTGCAAGAATTGCATTTAAGTTTTCTATTTTTGGCGTCGCTCGGGTTAAGTGCGCGATTGAAATTTGTGTGGCCAACTCAATGTAACAGGCGTGCAGAAATTGACCGACACTTTTCAGGCGGTGTTTAGTTACATAATTTCAGGCGCTAATTGACGGGCGCGTTAAATAGACCAAATGCACAGAAACACGTGCAGGTGTTTTAGGCGACCATTAGCAGAATAAAATGCAATTTGAAATTAAATTAAGTTACTTTATTTAGACTTCTGATTAAAATTCACAGTTAATTGCTTTAAAATATTTTAAATATATGTAATATTAGGGACGTCCATATGTTGTGCGGCTGAAAAATTAAAATAATTTTTTAATTATATATTGTGTTTATAATTTTTTTTTTGTAATTTAGGATAGGAAAATTTAAAAATAGAAATATTGAGTTGATTATATTAATAGGGTGTGACTGTAACTTTTTTAGATTTTTCTGCTATATTTTTTGTAACGTTTTTTTAATATTTTGTTAATTTCTGCCATTTTTTTGTTTTGTCACTTTACGCACAAAATTTTAGACTTGCTGACAAGCGCAAATACAAAGACACATTTCAGTATATTTGGTCTACGAAACGAATACTAAAATATATTATCAAACACTATTTAAACAACTGGCATGCTCGTACATATAGTAAATACGACAAACCTACATACATACATACGTACATATACTCAATATAGACTCGAACATATAATGCAATACCTAACCAATCATCAAGGCAACCGAAATCATACATATACGTGTACTTATTATGGTGTAGACGAGAGATAAATATATAACAGCAAAACTAAATGAAGCAAAAACTATATTAATGGGCGTAGTAGAATATGTGTATAGGATTATTGTCCTGATAACTTAAAAATTAAAAATAATACAATGCAAGAAATAGTGCATATGAAGAATGAATGTAAGCATGTAATAAATAATATAATATTAGAAAATTAATACAAAAAACAACAACAAATACTGCAAGTGACAGTTGAGGAGACAGCTGATTGGCTGCACATGATTAGTTAGTTTTAAGCCTATTTTAGGGATTCCAAAGTAAACAAGGTATACAGACTTAAAAGTCTAAACAAAACAAAAACCAAAAAAAGAAACAAAATTACTAAAACAAAAAACTATAGAAACAAATAAAAGTAATAAAAACATGTAGCAAACTGTGTGGTAAGTAGAAAATCCATTTACTTAGCAGCAATATGAGTAAGAAAATGGAAAACTAAAATATAAACAAATAAAAAAAATTAAATTTTATATATTAGCAACAAACACACAAAAACCAAGTGCAGACAAGTAAGACATTTCTATAGTAAAATTAGTCAAATACACACACGCTTTACAAAACGTAATGAAATATCAGGCAGAAGTATATACATATGTATAAGTGACTTAGCGATGTATGTAAATTTATTAAAGTTGACGGGTAAAATTAAACAAAAGCAGAAGGGGAACACATGTGCAAAAAACAAAAAAGTATATCAATAATAAATTAAAAAGCAGACGCCACTGTCTACAAATAATATTTGCTGACAGCGCGCGGTACACTACATGTTAACACATAGTTGGCAACGCGCATGCGATAGCAATAGCGGAAATCAAAGCGCCGTTTGTTGTGGAAAAATTTTCAGCAGTCAAATGATTTTACCAAAAAAGTTAATAAACACTAAACAAAAAAAACGAAAACAAACAGACAAAAGACAACAGCACTGGAATATCAATTAGTAAAATAATAATAAACAAACTTAAATTGTAATAACACATGCATACGTACATACATGGTACGTACATAAATATATGAAACACATACTATATTTCTACGTATTGCAAAGAAAAAACCACATACATACATATGTTGATACACAAACAATAAAATATTAGTAAATCCAGTAAATAAGTAAAAAAAAAAAAAAACAGAAAGCTGAAGAAAAAATGTAAGGTAAATCTCCTCAGTCAATGAGTTATTTAGTAATTTAAATGTGTTATCAGCTGACCCTTCCAAGCAACTTTTTCTAAAAATCAGACGCCTAATAGGAAAATAACGCAACCAAATCGAGAGATGAAAAGAAAATTTTACACAATAAAAGCAGAGAACATACAGCAAGTTGACATAAGTTCTCTAAAAGCTACATACACACATACAACAACTGACATGGCCTTCCCTGCTTCCTACTTACTTTCCATTCATGCTAATCATAAATGTTAGTGGCAAAAAACAAAAACAATAATCACAAATGCCATATGTTATAGCGTATATTATTGAAGAAATTATAATTGTCAAGTTTAAATTAAATAATTATATGAAATCGTTTAAATTTAAATTCTAACTCTACCATATATACCAGATTTAAGATGAATGCCGGCAAAAAAAAACATATTGCATTGCATGCAGTTACAATAATTATACATACATACATGTATGTACGTTGTACGTAGTAGTATGTGTGAGCATTGTACGTGCACGCGTTAATGCGGTAGTAATGATTCTAATACGCGGTACATACATATATTTATGTAAGTTGTAAACCGTACATAAGTTATACAACTAAATACTTGATTAACTGTTATTTTTAAAAATTATGTGAAGAAATTGCATTTAAGTTTCTTGTGAAAATAATAACAAATCCTTAACAATCGACAATTCGTATGAGAAATTATAGTCTATTAAAGTAAAAGATTACTTCAAATAAAAAAGAGATGCCAGATTAATTAATAAATGTTCGATTGTTTAAGTAAAAAAGATACAAGCATACATTGGCATAAGGCATTGAGGATTGAATAATTAATGAAATGGGTCGAAAGTTATGAGTCACTGTGCAAAATATGAAATCAATAAAGATATCAATATATACACATTATTTATTGGTTAAATAAGCATTTTTTATGATACTAAATTCGTTGGTTTCCCACACACACATATAATTTAAGCTTTGGAGGGGATGCGTGAAAGGTTAAGCTAACTACATGATCGTATAATATATGCATATTAAGTAGTAGAGACGTAACATTGTGAAAGCGAGAACTGTCAGTTGACTGTCACATTTGCAATACTGACATTGCGAAATGGTTACACAATTTTTTTTCTAGTGAAAGTAAGTATTTTTCTGGTATTTTTGCGATTTTTAATATATACTTAAAACAAAATCACTTATGACCGTTTAAGTTTGGTCGGTAGATATAATATTACCGCAAACAAAAGTATTAAGTAGCGAGTGTACAAGTCAATGTCTACACCCTCCTTTATATGCAATGAAACGAAATGAGAACGAAACAAAAAAGTAAACAAAATTCAATGAATCGAAAAATTACGCTGGTTTGAAATTTCAAATATAGGATGGAAGAAGATTTTCCATTATTTTTACTTGCCAAGCGGAAAGATACTTTCAACGGGAATTAGGTAACCGTTACAACAACAACAACAACAACATGCTTTCAACGTCCATCAGCTGAGGCGCCTACGTGACCAAAGTCATCCCTTTTGTTTGTCATATGAAATCATAAAAAAACTGTTTATCTAGCTGCACCTTGTTAAAAAAATACATTGCCTCATCTCCAATCATGAATGAACAGTAAGAAAGAGTGAAGATTGGGTAGTTTTCAATATGCTAATAAACTGAATGAAAATCAGTTAAATATTGCAGAAGAAGTGCTTTAAAGATGCATATCAGTATTGCCGTCAATGAAAAGTAAGACAAAATGGGTAGATAGTACGAATATTATTAGGCAATATTATATACAAAACTTACAATATGCTATAATAATTGTTGTTTGTTTGTAAACACAGTGACAGTGAACCTAGCGTTAGCTATAGTAAAACGAAATAAAATCTTTCGAAATACCTTTGTCCTTATGAATCATTTGCACAGCATGTCAAAACTTGCTCTAGCCGCTTTACATTATCAGCCATTGTTGTCACAGCGTCTGTTAAACCTTGCATCACAGTTATGAATTGTTCTTCTCGCTGGTCACGCCTTTTCATACTCTCCAAAAGGGTTTCGTACATTTCATTAAGTGTTGCTGATTTTCGTTTTTTTGGAGCGTTTGTCGAATTTCTAGGTACTTGTGGTTCAGGTGACGTTGCATACTGTGTGGAAGATGCGTGCTTGTTTTTCAAAGTTGACAAAACTTTTAAGCTGGATGAGATCATTGAAGTATTTGATGGTGGCGGCAAAACAATAATTCCTTGTGAACTGTTCTCTGTGTGTTTTGAAACACTTGATGGACCGAGCTGTATAATTTTCCTTTGAACATTATCGGTTGTTGTAGGCGTATTGTTTTCAGTTGATGTACGCGGAATAATAAATATTTTTGCCTTTTCGGTTTCTTTAGTCACTGTTTGGCGGGGAATAACAAATATGTCAGAACGCGATGTGTCCTGTGCAAGAGTAGAAAGTAGTTTTCAGTAAATTTAACAAACAAAAAAGAAAATGTAGCGGAAAACCCACTGTTGGAATGTCTTCGACTGTATTGGGGCGATTTGCCGCATACGTAGAGTTACTGTCCTCCGAAAGTACAATATCATGTTTGATGTCTAATACTTCCTCTAACCTATGAGCTGCCTAAGAAAACATTTGTGTATTTTAATAATGGTTTTCATCACGCATATGTAATTAGAGGAATACGTACGTCTGCTTGAGTATCATCCTGATGACTATTGTCATCTTCAGAGCTATCAATTTCTTTTTTTATCTCGTCTAATTCCGTTTTCAGCACGTCCTTTAAATATAGAGGAGAAATTTGTGTCAAAAGTGTAAAAAGTTTTAAATTATAGCTCACTTTAATATTGTCTGCGCTGTCGATCATATTTTCAGCGGCAACGTCTTCAGTAATAGGGTCATTATTGGTGGAATTAATAACTATGTGTTCATTTTCGAAAAGAAAAAAAAAATTTCTAAGCTTTGTAAAAGTTCCCTGAACGATCGGTGTTAAAATGAAATTAAAATACAAATAACTATACCTAATTGCACTTGCTTATTTAGTGAACGCTGTCCGAAGTTCCCTAAGGCGAATTTGTCAAATTGAGGTACACCGCTACTTTTGCCACGACGTGCCCGACACCTTAGTTGACTGCGCCAAGTGCTCATAGACTGTAAGAGCGTTATTTATGGATTTAAGTTTATTACACATGTTTGAAATCAATTATTCACCTCTTTCCATTTATCAGCTGAACGACAAGCGCCATCCATTGAATTCAAATTGCTCGCCAATTCTTCCCATAAGTGACTTACAGCGCCGAACTTCGATGTTAGTAACTTCGGGTGTTTGCTTGCAAAGTTTACAAAGAATAAGAGTTGTTCCATAGAAGCCCGGTTTTTTCTATAACTATGTAATGCTTTTTTTTATTGATTTGTTAACTATTTTTATTTCAAATCTTTTCATTACCTGTCTATGGCGCTTAAATTTTCATGCGATTCACTCCGTTTCAGGCTTGCTCTTAATAAATTCAGCGAAGGCACTGCGTCTGATTGTAATCGTGCTCGTTTTGGATTTGCCGATGTAAAATCGTTTGCACAGAAGTGTTTGGAGCACAATCTTGAACTTTGTGTTAGCTTGACGCCACACACTACTTCCCATTTACCTCTCATATATTGATCTCGTGGTGGCGAGAACATTGAAACAGTATTATTCCAACTACTTTTACACAGTGAACATGAATTACCCGGCATTACCACTATATTTCTCTCTAATTTAGAATGAAAACTAAATTACCTATGTATATGAATTTTGGAACTCGTCAAATATGCGTACCAAATGAACTGTCAATTGTCAATTGTCAGGTATGTTGTTGGTAATTTCCAATAGCGTCGTTGTTGAAAAATTTCATATGACACACCCTGTTGTAACAGCTGTTGCTTATCAATCGCATTGTTGCGGAGTTTCTCCTGCTTTATTATCGAAGAGATTTTGATATGCTCATTCGTAAGCAGACTTTTTGAGTTACCAAAAATAAAAAAGTTGCGTGCAGTTTTAATTTTCTAAGCCAACAACATTTTTTTTAAAATCATACAAAACCTTTAACCTAAAACACTTTAAACAGCTTTCAATAATAAAGTTTTTACAAAATTACTGCTTAGTTTTTGCACTGCTACCACAGCTGTTTTTAGATTTTTCAAATGCCATATATTCTGGTCACCTTGCTAGTGAGTAATCTATGACAACATCAACTACTAGACGTTTTTCCAGCAGTGAAAAGTGAAAATCGGTGTATATTGTGGAAATTTTATTATAAACATCTTAAATTGTGTGATTAGAGCGCGCTGAAATGACGGACGCGTTTTCTTATCAACGCACCGTACAGAGTTTGGCTCGCGTATTGGCGCGTATAGAGCCAACACCATGGGACAAGGTAACAATTGATTTTCACGGTCAACTCATAGCACAAAATCGACTTTTCACCTTTGACTCATATTCTTAATTTTTTGTAGGTGCAATCGCTTTTCCGCTATTGTCCACAAGAAAATGCCGCTGGCGTCTTTTGTCTCGATGCAAAAGCGCAAGATGCGGTAATAGCGTTGGGTATTTATTTTCTGGAAAGTGGGTGTCAACATGAGCAGCGCATTGTACCGTATTTACTAAGACTTGCGAAATGCTTGCCGAAAGCAGTTTGGGTAGACGATGCAAAGTGGAGCAAAACCGATCGTAAGTGTCTTTGTAAGTGGATACTTTTCCCAGATACTTTAATTTCAAATGAGTTACTATGTTCTGTCAATAGGTATACCATCGGCAGAAAAGTTCAGTTTTTGTTTGAATACATTACTTTCCGACATAGCGTCGAAATGCCCCGATCTACGCGAAGAGATCATACTCAATCAAGTGGAGACGCTTAGCGCTTTGGCAAATATTATCAAATCTAGTAAGGATAGTAGCTCTGCGCCGCCACCAATAATATTATGCAAAGCCACTGTGCCATTACTATTCGGCTTGGCGCGTTCCATGGGCCGCTATGCCAGCCAAGCTCCGTCTTTATTGTGTCGCATATTTCCACGCGAAGAAATGCCGGTGGTTAAACAGAACACGCGCGATGGCGGCAGTTTCAGCTCTAGCGAACGCATTGCTTGCTTCTCACAATTTCGCCCAATCATACCACGTTCCATGTCCGGTAGCTTGAGTCAAGACTCCAACGAGCTGCGCATGCGTCAATTGCAAATGCTAAATGGAATGAAGCAACGGCCACATTTACAAACTTACTTCTCTGTGCCATACGATCCGCGCACACATTTCTTCACCAAGACCGGTTCAAGTTTTAATCAATTTCCCAATATGCGCGCCTGTGAGACGCCAATTAAAGCTAAGAAGTCAGTCACGGTGCCACCATTTCCCATACAGCATCTACAGACTATTTTCGCTGTAGCCAAAAAATTACTCACCAAAGAGACACTGGAGCATTTGGATGAGCAGGCGAGCGATATATTCGCACTGCATCAAATTAAGGGTTATTGCTACAAAAGCTTTTCGGAAACGCTGAATTTGGTATTAGTGACGCTGTTACGTGAACTTTTGCAGCACCAAATCGATTTACCAACGCCATTTACGAAGGACGTGCAGGAATTTGTGAAACGTCTATTTTTAAATGGACAAACGGAGCTGGCAAATAAGCAACAAGATCAAGAGAAGGAAAAGCGCGAAGAGAACGGCATACCGGTGGTGAATAAATACAAGGTCAATGTAATGGCAAATGCCGCCTGCGTGGATCTGCTTGTTTGGGCTATACGCGATGAAACGGGTAGGTGATATGCTTGCTAAAGTGGAAGAGCATTTTCATTTTTCTTGAAAACTGTAAAAAAATATTTTTTTTTTTAATTCTCACTGGTAGGCAATATTTATTCAAGATTCTTGAAAAATATGCTTTACAGTTAATAATTTTTTTTTTTTTATTAATTCTCGTTGGTGTAGCATATTTTTTCAGGAAAAAGAAAAAGCAATGCATTTAAACACACACAAACACATATATATATATATATATATATATAGTTGTAAATTAAGTTAGCGTTATTACATACTTTGGGTACTCACTTGACTACTTTTTTATTTAATCTGAATTATTCTTTTCAGTTGATGAGGAGTACAATGTACCTTCATTGCAGTTGGGTTTAAAGATTTTATTGAAGAAAGGTTGTTAATTTTGAAAAGCTTTTGTTTTGTTACGAACCGATTTTTACGCAGTTCGGTGCATGCTCAAATGTTACCACTTAAGAAAAAAAGAAAAAAAAAACCATCAAAGTACTAATTTAATTATGCATACTATTATCACTTCATTGTCATGTCAGACCCACCTCAACAGGAGTTGGACATATTTTGTCACATTTTTTTTACCTTTCCTCTCCAATATATATTTTTTACGTTTTTGAATGCGTTTATACCGTTAATTTCGCCTACTTTTACGTTTTACTTTATCTTTTACGATTTAACATCACAACCAAACTTAAATTGACAACAATTCCTACTTTTTAGAGGCCGACAAGCTTTGCGGTCGACTCTCGCAAAAGCTCAACTCTGTGCTAAGTCATAAGATTGTCTTAGACCACATGCCATTGCTGATGGTTTGTCTCGAGGGTCTTGGCAAGTTAGCGCAAAAATTTCCAAACATTGCCGGCACATCTATATCGTATTTGCGAGACTTCCTTGTCGACCCCAGTCCAATATTGGCCAAGCTGCATGCTTATTCGCAGCAAACGCTAGCACTGCAGAAGAAGGAGAAGGAAAAGTTGGCGCCTTTCAAGATTGTGGTGCAGAATAGCGAGTCGCGCTCGACTGTGGATATTTATGGTGAAAATCAGAAACATGCGGGCATGCGCTCGGGTCAGGCAGCCTTCGAGGCGTTGCGCGATGCGGCAATTGAAAATTTGAGCATTGCATTACGTTCCGCGCACACGTTGGATCAGTACTGTGTGCCGGCTTTGGTGGCCAACCTCTCGAATCGGCTATTCACAGCAGAGAAACACGAATCGTAAGTACAGTTATATGTCAGATCGACGACAGTCTCCAATAGTTTGGAAAGTAAAGCAAGCAAATGATGTTAACAACAAATAAATAATATTTTTTTCCCATACATTCCATTCTATCTTCGCTCTCCTAGTGAATCTACTTTGGTAAGCCTCAATATTATTGTGATGCTCGGTCACGTTGCCGTCACGCTAAAGGACACTTCGAAGACCACGCAGAATATCTTGCAATTTTTCATTCAACGCTTCTGTAAGGTACCCTCCGAGCAGAATGCGCTAATTGTCGATCAATTGGGCTGCATGATTATCTCACAGTGTGAACCGCATGTTTTTGAAGAGATTATGAAAATGTTTTCGCGCGTCACAGTGCAATCGGCATCGTTGGCCTACACGTCGGATCAGGAACATCGCAAACAATTCAATAACGTGTCGGATGCAGTGGTCAATGCTTTGGGTAATATTGCTGCCAATATACAGGGTGACTCGGAGATGCTCGAATTATTGGGCAAACTGCTCGAACTCTTTGTGCAGATCGGTCTGGAGGGCGAGCGCTCCTATGACAACAATACACCGGGTGCGCAGAAGGCCAGCTCCAGTGCCGGCAATTTAGGTATGCTAATACCAGTAATTGCGGTGTTGGTGCGTCGCCTACCGCCGATTAAGAATCCACGTTTGCGTTTGCATAAGCTATTCAAGGATTTCTGGGTGTATTGTGTGGTCATGGGCTTTACAAATGCTCGCCTCTGGCCAGCCGATTGGTATCAAGGAGTGCAACAGATTGCAGCCAAATCGCCCTTACTCATCTCGCAGACGACACACAAATCCGACATGCGTGAATTGAACTATACATCGGCGATTAAAAGCGATTCGGTGAGTTTAAATGAATTACGTAGCCAAATACTGCTGCTGCTGGAACATCCAACGGCCGATGTGACTGCTTCGATCAACAAGTTGACCTTTGCGCAATGCACCTATCTCTTGAGTGTGTATTGGTTGGAGACTTTGCGTGTGGAGAATTCAGAAGAGCCCAGTTTGGAGCCGATTTTAAGCTATCTGTGCGATAATGCGCTGCAAAAGGATAAATCTGGCATCTGGCAATGCGTGAAGTGGTAAGTTGCCAATCAACCAATTGTGCCTAAGCGGAGAGCCTAAATTAATTTTTTTTTTCGTCTTTTACAGTGTTGCCGATCAGGTCTTCGAGAAGTTCCGCAATGTGCTTTTCGCACATGACGAGATCCGCGAAAAGGTTTTAGAATCACAGGCAATGCTATTGCTCGTCTACTTCAATCACATCCACAAGCAAATACAGTTAGTCGCCGATCAGTATCTCTCGCAGTTGGTGGATAAGTTTCCACATTTGCTATGGAATCGTCGCGTGCTCTGGTGCATGTTGGATATTCTGCAATTGCTTGCATTCTCGCTTACGCTCGATCCGAACGAAGAGACACCAACGCTGCGCGTCGTATCTACGCCTTACACCTTGCAGCTTATGGACTCATTGCCTGCACGCGAAAGTCGTCTGAAAGACTTTGCCGATCGCTGTCAAGGTATTGTTAATGAAGCGATGAAATGGGCACCGCGTTCCACACGCTCGCACCTGCAAGAATACCCCAATCAGATACCCACACCGGTACTGGCACACCATAGTGGTCTGGCTTTGGCCTTCGATTCGGTAGTCAGCAGCAATACATTGTATCCGAACGCTTTGCCATCGATTAGTAAGCGTCCGAACTGCGTGAATAGCAATACGCCGCGCTTCGTGTCGGTATTGTGTCTGCGCAGCAAATACGCTGGTGAAATCTCTGGTCTGTTGTCGGTGCTAAGTGAGGATGATAAGGCGGGCTTAGCAGACCGCTTAGTGAAAGATGTGTGGGATGCATGCGCGGAGAAGAGTGATGCGAGTCATCGTGGCGCTTTGTGGCGTGCCACCGCTTATTTGATTATTTGCTCCGATGTAAACCGAAAGCTGTTGCATGCAGTGGGTGAGTCGTGGTTTAAGCATACATTTCACAAGTTACAGCAATTTATCTTTTTTAATGCTTTTCTCCAATAAACTCTGCATTTTCATTTTTTCGCGCTCTCAATTGTTTTCAGCCACCTCTCAGGTGGAATTATTCACCGAATATGCCGTAGAAACGGCTGTGGAGTGCTGGCAGTGGGTGTTGACGGCACGCCAAGATCTGGAGCTCTGCTTTATCCAAGAGATGGTTAGCGCCTGGCAAACGACTTTCGAAAAGAAGTTGGGCCTCTTCTCTGACGAGGTAGAGACTACCATACCATTAGCCGCTTACGATGGCTGTAAGCTGGTCTCTAAGCCCATTCAAATAGCGCCACATCTCATTTGGCTGCAGTTGCTCTCCGAAATGGTGGACACCGCCAAGTATTGTAATCGCGACAAGGTGGAAATGTTTTGTCTGCTGTTGCATCGTTGTTTGCCTATTTCGAAAAATTCGAAACAAAATCGCCAAGTATCAACGGTCGGTTGTCGTTTTAAGCTACTGCAATGCGGTCTCTCGCTGCTGCAGGGCAATACAATACCACGTTCGCTGGCGCGTAACATATTACGTGAGCGCATATATAGCAATGCATTGGATTATTTCTGTGGTCCACCCACATGCGCCAACCAGAGTAAGGAGCAATTGTTGAATGACATTCTGATACTGTTGAAATTCTGGCAGACGATGCGCAGTGAGAAGAAACATTTGGTCACCTCGGAGGTTGGCGAATACGATATAACGGCGGTGGCATCGACGCAAATGCTCTCCGTGAAACAGAATGTGGAGACGGCATCGCTAATTAGCGCTGGTGATGTCGCGCGTTCGATGTCGACCGGCGGCACTGGCGGCTGGTACAACACAATACCGCACTCCACATCTACGCTATCGAAACGATCGAATCGCTCGAAACGACTGCCGTATCAAAAGGACTCGTACGACAAGGATTATATGAAGAAGCGTAATTTGATTTTGGAATTACTGGCAGTCGAGCTGGAATTCCTCATAACGTGGTACAATCCGAATAGTCTACCTGATTTGGCTATACCCGGTAAGTGCTACGCGCGCCGCCAAATGCATGCTTGGAATATGCTATATAAATATATTCACCGTATTTTCCTAAACAGGTGAAGAGCAGGTGAACGAGTGGCGCGCACGTCCCTCCAAACCCAACTTGTGGCGAGATTACGCACGCCTTGCTTGGACCTACAATCCAGCTTTGGCTGTTTTTCTGCCGTTGCGCATCAAAAGCGCCGACTCGATTGAGGAGGAGGTCTCGCGTTTGGTGTGCGCCGATCCCATCGCGGTCAGCCACATTCCAGAGGCGCTCAAGTATTTGTGCAATACCAAAAATCTGCTACACGAAAGTCCAGATCTGGTTTATATACTTTCCTGGGCTCCCGTCAACCCCATACAAGCACTTTCCTACTTCTCACGTCAATACCCATCACATCCGCTGACCGCGCAGTACGCCGTCAAGACGCTCAGCTCCTACCAAGCTGAATCGGTATTGCCGTACATTCCACAGTTGGTGCAGGCATTGCGGCACGACACCATGGGTTATGTTGCCGAGTTCATTAAGAATATTTCGAAGCGTTCTCAAATTGTGGCACATCAACTTATATGGAATATGCAAACCAATATGTTCATGGATGAGGATCAACAGCATAGAGATCCAAATTTGTATGACTGCTTGGAGGCGTTGTCACATAATATAATTTCGTCTTTCTCTGGCGCCGCCAAACGTTTTTACGAGCGCGAATTCGATTTCTTCGGCAAGATCACAGCAGTTTCGGGTGAAATACGTTCTTTCCCGAAGGGTATTGAGCGTAAAAACGCCTGCTTGACGGCGCTGAAGCGCATACAAGTACAACCGGGCTGCTATTTACCCTCGAATCCGGAAGCTATGGTGCTGGACATTGACTATAACAGCGGCACGCCCATGCAGAGCGCCGCAAAAGCACCATACCTGGCTCGTTTTCGTGTCTATCGCTGTGGCATAACGGAGTTGGAGACACGCGCCATGGAGGTGTCTAATAATCCGGCAAGTATTTTAAATTGCTTTTGAACTGTGTTGAAATAACACAATTTGTTTGCCTACAGAACTCGCAGGAAGACGCTAAGATGACACTGGGCGTTGAATCGTGGCAAGCAGCGATTTTCAAAGTGGGCGACGATGTGCGTCAAGATATATTAGCGCTGCAGGTTATAACAATTTTCAAAAATATATTCCAACAAGTCGGCTTAGAGCTGTTTCTCTTTCCATATCGCGTTGTAGCGACAGCGCCCGGTGTAAGTATTTTAATTTCAAACAGTAAATTAATATATTTAAATACATCATCGACTTGCGTTTAGTGCGGTGTCATTGAGTGCGTGCCAAATGCTAAATCACGTGATCAACTTGGACGTCAAACCGACTCCGGGCTCTACGAGTATTTCCTACATCAATACGGTGACGAGAGCTCCAAAGAGTTTCAGGCTGCGCGCGCCAACTTTGTCAAATCCATGGCGGCATACTCGCTAATCGGTTACTTGCTGCAGATCAAAGATCGGCATAACGGCAATATTATGATTGACAAGGATGGCCATGTCATACACATTGGTGCGTTGCTCTTAAGCACACATTTTATATATAATATATTTATAAACTCCTCATACCGCTAACAGATTTCGGATTTATGTTTGAGTCCTCGCCCGGTGGAAATATTGGTTTTGAACCCGACATGAAACTCACCGACGAAATGGTTATGATTATGGGTGGCAAGATGGAAGCGCCTCCCTTCAAATGGTTCTGTGAGTTGTGCGTGCAAGCATTCCTCGCAGTGCGACCCTATCAGGATGCGATTGTTTCGCTGGTCTCGCTAATGCTAGACACTGGTTTGCCCTGCTTCCGCGGTCAGACTATAAATTTGCTGAAACAACGTTTTGTCGCGACTAAAAATAATAAGGAGGCGGCGGCTCATATGTTGGCGGTAATACGGAATTCGTATCAGAACTTCCGCACACGAACTTACGATATGATACAGTATTATCAAAACCAGATACCATATTAAAGAAGGGAAGAGCAGTGTGTGCGGTAGAAAGTATGTATGTAAATGTATTAATTTAAAAATGTATGGAATGTTAGCGAAATGTTGCTCTCAAAAGTGTGCTCTCTTCACTGTTATTCGCTTATTTTCAACTCTAATATTCGTGGAGATTTTTTATTGCACTACGAATTTGTTATTTCTAGATTTTAAGTGTACGACTATTAAAATTATGCTAATATTTTAGTTATTTGTGTGTCATCAGAAATATTCTGTCAAGTATGACGTATGCAGTATTTGCATATTATTCAAAGATTCTTGTTTCACGCTAATATTAAAGCAACATATATAATTGTATGTATTTGAAATATAAATAATTGTGGTGTTACTGCTTAGCAACATGTTCAAATAATATAAAATTACATATTATAAATTAACCACTAATAAATGTAGAAAACATTAAAATTGAACTAAATAAAAAATATTGAGTTTTATTTAACAAAAAAAAATTAAATAATAAAAAGTAAACAAACAAAAAAAAAAAATAAAAAAATAATAAATAAAAAAAAAAAAATAAAAAATAATAATAAATAAATAAAAAATAATAATAAATAAATAAAAAAATAATAATAAATAAATAAAAAAATAATAAATAAATAATAATAATAAATAAATAAAAAAATAATAAATAAAAAAAAAAGTTCAATTAATAAAAAAACAAGTAAAAACGAAGCTATAATACCCTTCGCCAATGCAAAAGTTTTCCTTACAAGAACTTGATCTTGATCGCTCAGCTTGTATGGCAGCTATATGATTTAGTGGTCTGATATCGGCAGTTCCGACAAATGAGTAGCTTCTTGGGTAGCAAAAGACGTATGGAAATTTTCAAAACGGTATCGATATAGTTCGCGTGTATACAGATAGACGGACATGGCTAAATCGACTCAGCTCGTTGTGCTGATAATTTATATGTATATATATATTTTATAGGGTCATACAAACTTCGTGGCAAACTTTTTAATAACCTGTTCGGTATATAATTACTTAAAAGCCGCGCGGGGTGTTGCTTTAATAGTCAGCTATCTGTTGTAGCGACCACAAACAGCACTTGAAATATTTTATTCAATAAAAATACACATTATATTAAAAAAATGCGTTCATACACAAAAATCGTACTACGATATGCAACAAAATATAGTAATATATAAAAAAATAATGGAAAAAATGCATGTAATGCTCCACAACATATTTCAACAATTATCAATAGTTTATTTACCATACTTCAAATCAGACTAATAGTTCTGACGTTTCTTGTTTACCAAATAATGCGTTGCGGCTCCTTAAAATTTTCCCATCTGATTTCTTTGGTGAAAAATATATAGAATGTGAGCGCATTAAGCACCACATAGCAGCCCAGCTCCAGCCACTCTGCCCAACGGCTTTTAATAAGCGGCTGTGTGTGTAGGCGATACAGCACGAAAGGAATGAGAAAGTAACGCAGCTCTAGCAAGCGTTGAAAGCATAGCACTAGAAAAACAGCTAGCCAAAACATCAATTTGAAGCTTGTGCGCATATGTCGCAGGCCTGAGTGTAACAGCGCCAGCGCAAATACATAAATGGGCACCATAGCGTACTTGAACCATTCATAAGGGCCATAGAAACGATTCCATATATAAAATATGTAATGACGGTTGTCAGCCAGCAAATATGGATGTATGAGCGTATTCCATTTAACGGCTAGTATGCCAGTGCCGAGCAGGAAGATCACAATTAGTTTGTCGCGCGATAGCCAATGTAATGTCGGACGCAACTCGTGCAGCGTATTGGAGACGCCGAAAAGCAAAGCAAAAATGCTGAAGTAAAATAGCTGCAGACAAAAATAAAAAGTTCCAAGTCGTAAACTTTTTTAGCATATATATTAGACCTACCTGCGGTACATGTATGGTCGCTTCATGCGCACGCTTATCGCCAATAACAATGGAACCATTGAGAAACACGAAAAACAGAAAAGGCAATATTATGATTAGGTAGTAGCAGCCTTTATGTAGTATTTGCCAGATGCTGCGGCCCAGTAGCCGATACGAAGTGAGTATGCTCAAGAGCGTCTAAAACATAGCGTATCAATTAAAAGCCAAATTTACTAATGCAATTAAGTAAACCTACCTTGGGATTAAGTAACTCCACTTGTTGTCTTTTAATGCCTTTGGCACGCGCATAATTGCCGGTAAGCACATCTAGTGCTGTTATGCCGAAGCACATACCGACCCAAACTACATTAGTTTGCCGCATTAAGACACTAGCAGCAGCTGGAAAATAATTCGCAATTAAAATGTTTAAACAAATTGCCAATAGTATTTAAACGCTACCAAAAACAGCAGCTTGCAGATGTGACTCTTTGTGCCAGTAGTAGTAGAATAGCAGTATGGTCGTCAGCGATAACGTATCAGTATAGTAGAGATGACTAAAGAAATAGAGCGGTGGTAGTGCACCTAGAGTGAAAGCATCTAATGCCGCAAGCTGTCCATGTGCACCACCCAGCAACCGGCGTCTTATTTTATATAGTAATACCACATTTACCGCAGCTGCTACTAGGGATATGCAACGTAAACCTAATGCTGAGCAAGCACCGAGTGGTATGAGTATTAGCGACGCCAGATAGAGGCCTGGGAAGGTGGTAATTTTAGGATCCCACTATAAATACAAAGGTTTAATGATTACAACGTTAGGCATATAACTCATTCATACGCACCACATCGAAGCGTTTGTTGCAGAAGTGCAGACCCTGTCGCAAATGGAATTCCTCGTCTATTACCGTGGGTGCAGTGGCATAGACACGTAGGAATAAAGGCAGTGAATATGCTAGAAATAGTATGGGCAATAAAACCGGCCAGAAGTACTTTTGCATTTCGGCTACTATATGATCCTCAAATATCAAATATTGATTGTAAATTGGTGTTGGTAGGAAGAAAATGCACTGACAAGTAGATAGTTTTGTTTACGAAGGTACTTATAAAGCAGAATCCATAAAACCGTGCTTATGCTTTGCCAACTCTACTATTCTAAGAGGGTTGGAAACGTAAATTAACTTATCAAATCAGATAATGTATAATATAAATTTTACGTTTACTGATCAAATTGTTATGGAAGAAACGCAAAGAATGTAAAATATATATACAATAAAGTGAAATATTTTGATAATGGCCGCACTGTGAACCTTCTCTATAATCTATATTCTCTGAGAAACGTATAGTAAATCGAAGTTGTTAAAATATTGACTACCCGAAATTGTTTGATATGTATATATAAATGTATTTACAATCGAACTTGTTTTACTACACTTACATATATACGATTTTTTAATCCCTAGCGTATTCAATCAATATACAAAATATCTAGAATGTTAGATGCTCCAATGTTAAAATTATATATATATATATTAGTCCTTAGATATATCTATATATATACACTATAGTGTTGGCAGTTCATTGACGATTTGTTAAGCTAGTTGGCAACGCGTTAATAAGCGGTTGTCAAGTTGGCAGTACTGCACCGCCATATTGATGAAAAAAAGGAGTCGTCGTTTCTTGATTTCTCGGCGTGTGGCGCTGGAATTTTCTGCATTAAATATATAAATTCGCTGCATATCGTTCAATAATTGTATAAGTTATATTAAATCGGTGACTTTGCGTTGATCGATGTGATCTAAAAGTAATTTCGTGTATTCTAAAAAACGTTTGGAATACGGCAAGTGTTGGATCGTCATCGTCGTTGTAAGCGAAGGGGAGAGAACCGTAATTGGTAGATGAAAAAATTTACAAGTATAAAGGAAAGAGTGAGGGGGGAAAACTTTTTTTTTTTTTGTACTTTTTCACTGCGAGTTTTTCGTTTTCGAAAGTGTATTTTGCTTCTCTGAACCCTCGAAAATTTTTCACAAAGTGCATTTGAGTTTTGAACGTAAGGTGTGGTTTTTAAATGTCATAAAATCTGAAATTTTATGGAAATCTAAATATATTATATAAAATAAAATATATATATATGTGAATTATATAGTGTGTGGATTATAAGACAAGAGCAAAGGGCTGGAGAAAAGTGTAATAGAAAGGAAATTGTGCGAACATCAAAACGAACAAGAATAAAATAAAAAACGTAAAAGCAGCATATCAAAGGCAAGGCAAGGAATCAAGTGCTGTGTGGCTACCGAATACCTGTGTGAACGTGTGTGAACAGCGATAGCGCGATTCGGGCAAATAGCCAGCGAACTAACCATAGTCGTCGGCGCAACAAAAGAAGTGGTTCCGTGGTTCCGTGAGTGCATTATGAAATTTCGGTGGCATTTAGTATGTTTTCCTCATAACTTTTAAGAGTTAAAAATCTGTGCAATGGCTAGTGAAAAACTTTTCGAATGTGACAATGTGTATTTGCTTGATTGTAACTTATCGTATGTGATTAATTGACGATAGTTGAAAATAAATTCCCTCACTATGTGAACATAGTCACGGTGCAGCAATAGTTGCAGGCAGGTTTAGGTAGGCAAAGATTGAGACAGCCTGAGTCTTTCGCTATACAGCCTCACTGGAAAAGCGCTAAAGTCATGTAAAAAAATGTTTGACTATCCTTGAAAATGAGTCCTACACCAGGAAGAGGGAGTAAATGAGAAAAGTAAGAGCAAGCGAGAGTGAACACGCGCATACGCAACGTCAACGACTCTGTCGTCGCTTTTAGCACGCTGCTGCTGTCATCGAGAAGAGAGACAACAGTGGTTTTACTTTCATGTTGAGAACGTGCGAAAAAACAAGTTTCATTTAAAATGCGTACGTTAAAACGAGACAAATGCTGAGTGGAAGTAGTTTTGCGTAAAAGGGTCGTTGCTGCCAACCGCTACTCCAATTGGGATTATGAGATTCCCATTAAAATTAAATTGGTGAACGATCAAAAGGCAGTGTGGGATAATGCTCTCAGTGATTGTTAGTGCAAAATACGTCCAGTGATAAATTTACGTAAAAACGTGCTAATTGTTGAACCAATGATTTAAAATGTTAGAAAATTTGCAAGAAAATTGCAATTTCAATATTTCTTTATGCCTTTTTCGTTTTTACTCGGAAAAAATTTGTAGGTAATGTGCCGCAAAGGTATATACAGAATTTTTCTAGACTTTAAATCGGCTATTAGTGTGCTCTCATCTGTTTATTCCACTACTGCTGTCTTCAGTTGTTGCTTTCTCCACTCGTTTTTGTTAAAAAAAAAATCGTGCGTTCGATATCGCTACGCTGTTAATACCGCCACTGCAAATATAGTATTGCGTCGTATATTTGTAAGATACGGATTTTCAATAAGTTTGCGTGTTTAAAAAAATTGATATTTAAATTACAATTTATGTCGAATTTATTTGCAGTTCATAATTGCTTTTTATGGAAACATAGTTGTATATATTCCAACAGCTTCGTTGCACCTTGCATTCCCAATTTATTTGCTCATCGTTGCTATCGTCAAGTGCGTTTCTAGTCCCCTTTGCTGCATTACCGCATTCACCATGTTTCTTTGTTCTTTTATTCAACGACATTGCTATACATTCTTATTTCCGCTATTTTATTCTTTCTATCATTATTGCATTAAATGCATTTAAGTGAAAGCGTATAAACGAGACGAAGCGATAGAACTTGAGGCAAATGTCAGTTCTTCTTTCTGTTGCTTTGCGCATTTGTTTCGTGTGACATTTCGATACCTACTCATTAATTTTTCCGTGTATCTCAAATTATTATTTTGTCATGCTTTCGAGCACACTTTTGTTTTTTTTTTTTTGTAGCTGGACAGTAAAGGTGCTCGTATGCACTGATTTCGTTTTATAATAAGGGTTAAAGGTTGTGAAAATATAAATTAAGGGAAACGGCAAAGATCTATTTGACTTCCAAAGGCTTCAACAAGGAAGGTTGGAAATCATTAACGAGTATACATTTCCTTTTAAATTTTTGGCCTATTCAGTATTTCACATGACATTAGAGTTAGTGGAGATTATATTTGTTATAATTTGCTACCTTAAAAATTTATTTTAAGGTAAATAGAATTACTACTGGTTGATAACTGTAATGTAGTTAATTTTTACTTTTTTGTGTTCATGTATATAGAAATGCATGTAATTTATTATTATTATTTATGTACTTTTAGTATAATTGGCACTTAGACGTTTATGACAGTTTAGTTCAATGAACTGTCTAAACACGCTTGCTATACAAAATTTTTACATATTTTTGGGCATTTTGGTAAACCATATACATATATAATTTTTTTCAGACGAAAAAAAATATTATTAACCAAACTCAAAGCAGGTATATTTATATATATCTTTATAAGTAGGTGTTTTTGCTATCGGTCCTATTCTTCTAGCCTGAACAGTTTCCCACAAAGTTTGTAACACCCAGAAGGAAACCGTCGAAGACGCTATATAATATATATATATACATATATAAATGAGCAGCATGCGAGTTGAGTCGATTAATCGTGACCGTCCGTCTGTCTGTATACACGCTAACCTAGTCCCACAGTTTTTGATATATCGATCTGAAATTTTGCTCAAGTCCTTTTTTCTCCAAGGAGCGGTGCATTTGTCGAAACCGCCGACATCGACCTACTTTAGCATATAGCAGTCATACAAACTGTTCAAAAATAAGTTCTTGTAAGAAAATTTTTAATTGTGAAGTGTATTTTAGCTTCGCATCAACAGAAGCTGATGTTTTTTCTTGTTTCAAACCTTTTTGTGGTGAAAAATGTTCAAAGTTCGCTGTCAATAAAACTGCAACTATAGGGTGACAATTATTTCGACTACATCGCCGTTAGTTTAAGCGCAAAAATTATCGTTAAAAATCGTAAATGCATGGTAGTATAATGCAAGTGACATCATTTTAGTGCAAAATACATTTTTCTAACTGTACATCAAAGTAGTGCTAATTGAATAACGTTAAAAAAAAAACTAATTTCTATAAACGAGGTAATTAACAATTTGGTCAATAGCTGATTTTTGTTTCTAATTTAATTTACAATTTGCAATTTAAACCAAGTGAAGTGAAATTAATAGACGCATATTATATGGTCAGTTTATTCAGAGCAATTTATAGATGTAGATGTATTTATCTGCCAAATAGCCAACATCTCATCCACACTTTCTACAAACAAGTCAATTTATCATGTTTCAATGTAGTATTTTCACAGCAAGAAAAATTTGAGAAAAATTAAACAGTAAGAGAACACCTGTCTTAATGTCGCAAGTTCGTGTTGCAACTCATTGTTTACTGCTACTAATACATTTTGCATTTTTCCTATGGCGATATTCACTTGACAACAAGTGCTAAAATGACATTGGGTTGTGAAAAGATTACAAGAAAGAAAATATACCTACTAATACAAACATTAAGATATTTTAATTGCATTGTGGTGCAAAGCGTTGGACGCTTTTACCATTCAAAGTACGGGAGTGCTGTAAAATGCTGGTATATGCATTGCAAATTACATTTTACATATATACACATAAGTAAATAAAAAATAAACAAAATGTACAATGTAATTATAATACGAAATATTTAGCTGACATCACGGTACGATAGTTTCTAAAGGATAATATAATACAATATATTTCTCTTTTTTATAATTTTAAATATTTGTTATACATATATTATTTATATATTTGCTGTATAGTATCTATATATTTTTTTTATATATTATTTATATTTTTTTATAATAATTTATATATTTTTTATATATTATTTATATATTTTTATAATTATTTATAAATTTTTTTCTATATTTTTTTTTAAATTTATATTTATATATTTTTATATAATTATTTATATATTTTTATATAATTATTTATAGATTTTTATATAATTATTTATATATTTTTATATAATTATTTATATATTTTTATATAATTATTTATATATTTTTATATAGTTATTTATATATTTTTATATAAGTATTTATATATGTTTTTTTAATATTTTTTTTAAATTTTATTTATATATTTTTTTTAATATATTTTTTATAATTATTTATATATTTTTTGTAATATATTTTTTATAATTATTTATATACTTTTTTTAATATATTTTTTTTTAATATTTTTATAATTATTTATATATTTTTTTTAATATATTTTTTAAAATTATTTATATAATTTTTTTTAATATATTTTTTAAAATTATTTATATATTTTTTTTAATATATTTTTAATAATTATTTATATATTTTTTTTAAATATATTTTTTATAATTATTTATATATTTAAACTTATTGCCTTATAAGCTGTTTGTTGCATTTATTTGAAACACAAATGTGATTACGCTTCTGGTAGCACGTCTTTCATACGTTTGTATTTTTGCTATCACTATAATGCTCTCTTTCACTTATCTCCTCTACACTTGTCGCAATGTCAAGCCTCACAACGAGGCAGCATTTGTTTTTCGTTTTTTATTCACTATTACGTCTTGCAAGCACTTTGTTTTTGCTTTCAGTATATAATTTTTTTTTTATTGTACTGAAAATTGAAAAGAAAATTAGTCACACTGACCTAAAGTATGATTTGTAGTTTTTACGACGACTTTGTATTTGTTTTTATTTTTTGTTTTTATTTCGAAAGCATACGATTGTATATAATTTTCGAAGATATTTTACGAAAAATAACGTTATGCGCTTGATATATAAAAAATAGCAATTTTGAAAGAGGCGCGTCCGTAGTGTGAAACTTATACAAACAATGAGTGCTATTTTTAGCTCAACTAAAACTTCCAATTTCTCTTATAGCTAATTGTGTTTTCCAACCTTTT